TGGGGGGGGGGGGGGGGGGGGGCCTTCGGCGCTGCCGCCCCCGGGGCTCGGGGGAGCCGGGCGCCGCCTGCCCCCGCGGAGCTGCCAGCGCCACCCGATGTCCGGGCAGCGGGAGGCCGTGCTGCCGTTTCAGCTGCTGTTTTAGATCCGCTTCCGCGCGGTGCCCGGGGCTCGCAGCGGAACCGCGCTGCCGAAGGCGTGCCCGCGGAGCCTTCCCGCGCGGTTCACCTCCGAGGGAGGCAGCAGTTTGCTGGATTCAGATCATGGGGGGGAGAACAAACCAAAAAATCCTCTCAAACCAACAGCCGCTTCAGTAGAGCAGGATTGTTTTTTGTGGTGTTAGAATTTTGTCTAAAGTCTGACCCAAACCATCATTTCAGTCAGCAGGTGGGTATGGCTGTTGCTTTCTGAAGGAGAGAGTGTAGTTAACCCAAGTGGACGAACTCTTAAAAGCAGACAAGCCCCAGTCAGCTAACTAAAAGCTTAACATCTAGAGGCGGTAATCCCGAGAGGGAGATACTAGACGTACAGTCAGGTTTCAGATCACTCTGCGGTCATGTAGTGAACTGACGATTATCACTGTGTAAAGCTGCTCAGAATTTCTGTCAGGGTGCACGGCGATCAAGGTGAAAGTTTGAACTGGCAGTCGCCTGTAAATCCAGATAGTTTGGGGGCTGCTAGAAAAGAGCAGTTCCTGTTATGCTCTGTAGTGTTTTATTTGTAAACAAGAGAATACTGCACCCGAGGGTAGACAGCAATTAGAGATTATTTAAATGTTCTGCATGTTGTACTCACTCTTGCAGATGTGTTACATCTTTGTTGAAGCTTCGTGCTGAATTAATGGTTATCTGTTTTCCCATGCACCGAGTAGGATGTATGAAGTGGGATGTACCTTGTGTGTGCCGGTTGTCTGTTGGTACTGGGGTAATGTGATCTGACAGCTTTTTTTAGTATAATCTAGAATTTTAAATAAGTGTAACTAGTTTTCACATAGCCAGTATATCGTGAATGCTTTCTGCTAAGTGCTTATAGCTGTTTTAAACAGGGGCGTGATAATCTCATTGGAAAATTACTGTTCTGCAGAGATCGCCTTCCAGAGCAGGGCTGGTTAGTGAGCAGTCATCATGCAGGATCTGATTTAGGGTGTTTTTGTCTTGCCCCAGAAAATTTTTGAATACTTCCTGTTGTGGCTGCATGTGTCTAAGTGCTTGGCAAAGTAACACTGTGCTCATGAAACTCAAGTCTTCCCAGTGTTGGCACCTAGATCGCTGTCTCAGAGCTACCTAAGACTACACAGAAGGTTTAAAGAGGGAGGGGCTGTTTCAATTTGTGAATGTATTTTCTGTTGGGTGGTGGGAGAGGAGTGCGATTTACCTGTGACAGTTGCTTAAAAATGCTAAGTGACTAAGATCTAACCCAGGAAAAGCAATTTCAGACTAGATTTCCTTTAGCTTTATGAGAAAGCAGTTATTTTATTGATAATTGTATTCCCCCCTCCCACCCACCCTGTAATTCCCAAACCACATGTGCTGAACTGTTTAGAAACTCACTGGCTAGAGAGGAAGCATTTAAATGAAATTGGCAGAATGGGGAATGATAAGGAGAAAAGACTGTTTGCAGAACTGGCTTCCATTATTGG